GTGCCCGCAACCCAGGCACATACCCTTGACCGGAATCGAACCTGGGACCCCCCAGTCCGCAGGCCAACGCTCCATCCACTGAGCCAAACCGGTTTTGGCAGAACAGGACTTTTTAAATTGGGTAATGGTCTGGCTATTGAAACACCAGCAAATGTCCCAACAGAAAGAAAATAGCAAAACACCTGATCAGGGCAATTTCCAAATGAAGGAAGAAAACAAATGGCCAATAGAAAAAAAGAAAATGGTCAACCTCACTAAAAGCAAACCAACATTAAGGGATGTCCCTCTTCACCCCATCCCCACCCCCCATTTGATCGACAAGGTTTCTTTTTTCTTTTTCCTTCTTTGTGTTCTTTCTCCTTCTCATTCTTTTGTGGTGATACTCGTTGTTGATAGAATGGTGAAAGGGCACCATTCACTGCTAGCATTTTCCTGGCCTTTTCCTCACACACAGCTGGTAGTTCTGTGAGTTGGCACAGCTTCTCTGGAGGGCATTTTGGCAAACTGTGGTAAGAAAAAAAAACACCCTAAAGGCAAGCATTCTTTTTGATCCAGCAATTTTATTTCTAGGAATTTTTTCTAAGAAAATAATTAGAAGTGAACACGAAGATGAATAATAGCAGCTTAACATTTACTGGGTGTTCACTCGGTGCCAGGCAATATGCTAAGTACTTTACACTTCGCCTATTTATCCCTTCCAGCAACACATGATGAGATGAGTATTATCATGTCCATTTTCAGATGGGGAAACTGAGGCTCAAAGAGATGTAAGTTGTGAAAGTTCTAGTAACCGGTAAGGGACAGGCCGGGGCTCAAACCGTGATCTCTTTAACTCCAAACCCATGCTCTGAACCACCTTGCTATCCTACCCTCTGGAAAACTATGTGAAAGATGGTGCTTCAAATAGTACTGTTTAAAATAACAAAAATTCAGAAAAAGCTTCAATGTGCAAAAATTGAGGGATTAGTAAACAAATCACATAGAATCATATGAAAAAATACATAGCCATGAAAAATAACTGTTGAAAGAAGAATGAAATAGGGAAACACTCATGATAAATTCACTGCGGAAAAAAAAAACATGACATCAAACAGTTATGTCTCATTTTAATTTTAAAAATGCATCTATGCCATTTTCATGAAGTTCAAAATTACAAAAGACTAGTCTATGGTGATCGAGATTTAGTGGGGAGGTCATTAATTGGGAAGTCTACTGGGAACATTCTAGATCTGGGTCTGGGTTGTGGTCACATCAGTGTATTCATACATAAAAATCCATGCAGTCGTATAGTTAAAATTTGTGTGCTTTCTATACGTTTATAGAAGTAAATCTCACTTTAAAAATGCATAATGCACAGAAAAAAGTCCTGTAGGAAAACATCAGAAAAATGTTAGCAGTGATTTTTACTGAGTATAATTTCTTTCTTTTTCTTTTTTTTCAGTGAGCCTATGTTATCTTCATAATTAGGAAAAATAATATCAAGTTCATTACTGGAGGGGGTGGGAGAGGGGAACATGTACATGAGAGCCAGTGGTAGTCCAGGCCTGGGATTCCGGGGGTGGGGGTGGGCAGAGCTGTTCAAATGTGTGTAGTCCTGGGCGCCCAGCTGAGTCTGGTCTTGTAGGCAAGACTCCATGGTTCCAAGAATAGAGGGCATGGAGGAGAGAAGCTAGTGCCCAGCCCTGCTTGGAAGGAAAAGTTGGAGACCCTGAGGTGCCTAGGACAGACTCAAGCAACACCCTTAAGACAAATTCCTCCGACTTTAGAGTCCTGCTGAGGAGGTGTTACACAAACCATCCCAGACAAGTTGTCCTTCTGCTGCCAGCCAGATACCAGGCCTCCAGGGAGCACATTGGCTGCCAATCTGGCAGCAGTGAGCTACCCCTGCCTCCTCTCTCTTTTTAAGGGACAGCTTCTGCCTGGGGGAGGGAAGCAGGTTTGGACCACCTCGACTCTCTTTCAATTCAGAGTCTGATTCCAAGGCAGTGAAGACATTAGGGAGGTGCAAGGCAGGTTTCTATGGGTGCTTCCTGGGGTCCCAGCCTCAGCTCACCCCAACCATGAAATCCTGCCAACCAAGAAGTGGATCAAAAGAAATCATTCAAGAATAAAGAAGCTTTGGTATATAAGATTACCTGTAAATATTAAATATATTTAAATACAAAACAAAAATATAACGGCGAGAATCAGCAGTTCTTCCTTACTAAGAAATACCAGTTTTATTGGGGCCATCAAAGGTGCCTACTAGAAAAATTCCCACATTTCCCAGCCTCAGTTGCAGCTAGGGATTGCAATAACACATCTGTGGCTGAGTAAGAAATTGTGGAAAGCTTTCCTTTCTTTATAGAGTCATTTTCTCTGTCATCCTTGGTGGAACAAGAACATGATGGTTGGAGTAACAATGTGAGGGTTAATATTTTTATTTGAAGGATAGAATTGATGTCCAAGGCTTGGCTGGAAGTGGGAGGAGAAGATAAGTATAGCTACAACATCAATGTTTAATTGGTCTGGAGGCTAGCCAGGGTGGCAAGGAAAGATCGAGATGACTTTAGGACTTATGTAAGGAATTAGGGCCGTATCCAGCTATTTTTAATATAATTGATTTTCCTTCACCCTATAGCCTGGGGTAAGAGTGGAGGCCACTAGTCAAGTTGGAAATGATGTAACAGAGGAGAGCTGATTCTGCTGGAAAAGTGAGTGGGTAAGGAAAATAACATTGACTAAGCACCATTTATGTCCCAGGTGCTTCACCTCACTCATTTAATCTTCATGACTCTGCTAGCTAAGTGTGATGGTCACCTCCATTTTATAGATGAGAAATTGAGACTCAGAGAAATAACGTGATTTGCCCAAAGCCACACTGTCAGTTAACCATCAAATATTTCTCAAGCAATCAATGCATTAGGTAGGCACAGGAGAGCCACTGTTAGAATCTAGATCTCTGTGACATCAAACCTATGCTATGCCTCCTCCACTTCACACCATCTACTGCCCAGGAGGAACCAGGAGCAAGTATAGGAATTCCAGTCATGAGGAGAGAAGATGCGCTTTGAAGACTACCCCCTAGCTATAAGATTTTTCATATTCTTGATAATCTCTCTGTCTCTTCATTGATCAGAGAGTCACCTGGCATGAATCCCGGGGTTCAGGATTGCACTACCCTCTGGATGCCTTGGACAACTACCTTCTGCAATCAGATGGGGCCAAGCGTCCAGGATAGCTGGGAGAGCCTTCCCCTAACCCCTGCTTGGCAGGATGTCAGTATGCAGAGAAAAACAAAGAGGTGGAGAGTGGGGAAAAGGAAGAGGAGGAGGGGAGGGAGAGAGAGAGAGAGAGAGAGAGAGAGAGAGAGAGAGAGAAATTGCTTGGTTTGGGATTCTAGGCCCTTTTTTTAGTCAGTCCTAGAGCCAGCCCATTTTGCCCCTCCTAAGGATGGGTCTGGCCAAATGAACTCTTTTTTTGTGGAAGCTAGTTCAAGTTTGGTTGAAACCAAAGTATCCTGATGAGCACATTCTACTTGCTCTAGTTTCTACTCCCTCATAACATCGTGCCTGTGGTTTTTGCCTGTCTTGGCCCCCAGGTCTGCTTCATGAGATCTGGAGTCTGAAGATGGAGGGGTGAATCCCAGTTTCTCTACCAACAAACACTGCTGCCTTGAGCAAATACTTTACCTCCTCAAACTCGTTGAATCAGATTTTATTCCTCCAAGGGGTATTATGAGAATTATACAAGATAATGCATGCAACACAAATGCTTAGTGCAACACAAATTTAGCTTAGCGTTCAATAAATGGTAGCTATGATTATTATCATTCAACTCGCCTTACCAACTAACCACAATTTATTGATGCCATGAGTTATCTGCTGGCTTAAGGCCACATAACTTATGCACCACTGATAACTTGTAGATAAGTCTCCCTAGGGATAGAAGTCTGTCTCAGACCCTTAAGTTTCAACTTTGGGTTGGAATTTCAGCAAAAGTTAGGAATGGCATGGTAGCCTATACACAGTGGTATGCCAGTAATTAACAACCAGCACCCTAAAACAACAAACAAAAAAACCAACAACAACAAATTTTTTGCCAATTTTCATGGTGTAAATACTCCCACCATGGCTGATTTCAAGCTACCAATGTAATGTCACTGAATGCAGAGCTGGGAAGAATGGGTGCAATGGGCCCTCATGAGATAGAGCCGGCCAGCTCCAGCACACCACTGCCTGTGCAGGTAGAATTTCTCCAAGAAGGGGATATAGCCAGGGAACACATTCCAGAACCTGTCTCCTAGAGCAGCGGTCGCCAACTGGTGGTCCGTGAGGTTCGAAAGGTTGGCGATTGCTGTCCTATGTATAGCATTGACTAAAGTGGCAGTCACATATCTCAGGTTGGGTTCTCTTAAAGTAAAAGGGATTTTTTTTTTAGTTGTTAATTATTTAAATTTATTTTATTGTTGAGAGTATTAACAGATGTCCCCCATTTTCCCTCTTTGCCCCCCTCCACCCATGGGCTATGACTAATTTGTACTTCTTAATCCCTTCACCATTTTCACCCTTCCCACTCACCCCCCTCCCATCTGGAAAAGGATTCTTGTAGAAATGATTTATTGAGGGACTTCTCAAGGTGAAACCTGTTAAGAAATGAGGGGTTCAGACTAGAACAGGAGAGAAAGATGAGCAAAAAATGTGGGTTCTGCTGAGGTCTAGCCTCAGCCTGATCCCATAGAGCTCTGGAGCATGAATACTCGCACAGAGTTGAGGCAAGGGATCAGGGGGTTTGTACATCCCAGGTAGTCAGTCACTAGGTGCAGGATGCCTTCAGAGTGGAACTTCCAGGCATTTCCTAGCAAGGAAGTTCTGTTGGCTGAGGGGAATTCTCAGGAGAATGGAGCAGCTGTGACCTGTGAGTAACCCAACTCTTACAGCAGCTAGGGGGTGATGATACCAGCCTGACGAAGGTCACCCAGGTGGGACCCCTAATCATTTACTATGTAGCGCTAACAATACTGATGATAATTTCATGGTGAAGATGATAGAGATGGAGATGATAGAAGTGGTAACGGTGGTGGTGGTGGTGGTGGTGGTGGTGGTTTCACTGCTGTTGGCAACTTTGGGCTTGGTTGGGTTGGTGGTGGCATTGATGGTCGTTGGTGACATGGTGATAATAATGGTGGTGTGACAGTAGTGTGATAAATTGTGGTGGTGATGGGGTGCTTCTGAGGGTGATGATGAATGCCTATGACAAAGATGTTGGTTATTGAAATCCCTATTTCTTCAAGGTTTGCCTCTTTATTTTAAGCTTTTTTTTTAAATATATTTTTTATTGATTAAGAAATTAAAGAAATTAGAGGGATAGAGAGTTAGAAACATCGATGAGATTATCAGCTGCCTCCTGCACACTCCTACTGGGGATGTGCCTGCAACCAAGGTACATGCCCTTGGCCGGAATCAAACCTGCGACCCTTGAGTACACAGAC